AAACTTATACTGGAAGTCTTTGTGGTTCCTCATGGTTCTAAATGCCTCAGTGGCTCAGCACCAAAAGGCCTACTATATTGGAAGAGCGTCGATTCTCGTTGCATTTCGTTGCAACTGGCTTCACTTGACTGGCGCTTAGACTTTGCCAAGACTGCAGATTTTTTCCAAATGGTTCCGGCTCTAAAAACTTATGCCATATTCTTCAGAATGCGTTCATACTTTGCATTAGCGTCTTTAGCGTATGACAGAGTTTTGAGCGACTAGAGATGTACAGAAATTGACGTACGACTTGGCGTTTCAAGCCTACACCAGCATTTCCAGGCGACTGCCCGCCAAAAACTCGAAACTGCTCTTCGAAAACGCTCAAAACGCTAAGGCAAAGTATGAACGCAGCCTTACTCCACTGAGATTACGAGATGAGATTTCAGCGAAGCAATCTTTGCTTCACTTGGGCTGCAATATTCTTAGGTTTTTCAACACTATGCAAGCGTCCCTCAGTCTCCAGCAATTCTGGCCGTTTCTGAATTGAAATTATCTTCAAAAACCTCTCAGGTCTTGTTCCTGGTGATATCTACTCTGATTTACATCGATCGAAATTGATCCCGGAGCCTCTATTTGGTGACAACCATCTGCATCTGTCTTGGATCGCTGCAGAAAACTGGACGTATACCAAAACGTTTAGTGTTGACCTATCAATACTAAAGGTAGCTCAGCAATATTTCACGCTTATGTGTGTCTAATGTGTGATGTGTGATTGTATATTTTCCATAGTGACGTAAGTGTTTCAGTACAGAAGAATACTGCTTCTATTGAAAGGCGTCGACACCGTGTCGACAGTGGTCTTGAATGACGACATATTATTGAATACAACTAATCAGTTTGTGGAATATTATGCTGATCTGACTGGATCCCTCAAGAAAAATAACAAAATTGAAATACGGTTTACATCACCAGTCTTATATGCCGAGGAAAAGTCGTCCGAATACAGTGTGAGTTCCGTAGCGTGCTTGTTCAGCTCGTGCTCGTTTTTGAATTGAATTGGTCCTGCAACCTAAAGTTTTCTTGAATGTCGGCTACGACTCAGTTTTTCACCGCTTGACCAGGTGAAAAAAGGTCCAATTTGCTAGCAGAAGAGCGTAAGTAGCGTAGACCGTGAGCTAAACTGCGTTCATACATTGCTTCAGCATTTTGAGAGTTCCGAGCGTTGAGGGTTTTGAGCGAAAGCCCGCGAAGAGCTCAGAACTGCCCGGAAAATCTCTCGAAACGCCGGCTCACGCTCAAAACGCTAGATCGTTATCCATATTTTCCTAGTCGCTCAAAACGCTGCTGTACGCTGATGTACGCTGGTATACGCTTAATGCTCTGCTAGTATCATGCTTAAACCGCGTTCAGACTTCGCGATGGAGCGATTGCGTCGCTTGAGTCGAACGACCGAATCGCCTGACTCAGGCGATCCAATCGCTTGAGTCGTACGACCGCTTGAGCGGTGCAGAAGTGCGTAATAGCAGAATACAAATCCGGAAATATGCAGACTGTTGATTTATGAGGAGAGTGATGGTTAAGGATGTGGATGTGTACCGTCAAGAGTGTGCATGGCGTCGGTATTGATCGGTGAAGGACGCCCCATACGTAGTATCGATCGCTTTGCTCCGCCAGCGCGAATTTGTGCATTTCGGCGTGTCCTGCGCATTGCGGCATATTCCGCTTTCTTTGAAATCGAAGTTTTTGTTTTCATTTTTGTTTTTTCTACTCCCATATTTTCGAAGGGTATGCTCTATTGATGTGCATGCGTCTTGTTGTTTATTAATGCACAACAGTTCCCGCCTGCGCGAGAAAAGGCAATACCCCCCATGCACATCCTTGACTACCCACATCCACATCCTTAACCATCACTCTCCTCATAAATCAACAGTCTGCATATTTCCGGATTTGTATTCTGCTATTACGCACTTCTGCACCGCTCAAGCGGTCGTACGACTCAAGCGATTGGATCGCCTGAGTCAGGCGATTCGGTCGTTCGACTCAAGCGACGCAATCGCTCCATCGCGAAGTCTGAACGCGGTCTAATACTGTGCCGCTACGCTGGCGTTCGCTAGATCGATACCCATCACCTTCCATTCTCGAGGATGTCGACATATATAATCCACCAAATCACGCCGCGTGCAATTGCGTACTGACTGCTGCTACCGTAACCACGTCTAATGTGCATTCACAGCTGCGGCTGCTGCGCCAACTGCAATTAATTTAAACTTGCTCTTCTCCCTGTGCAGTGGCATAGATAACATCAGGCCTCATACTGACAAGTACGTCGCGATTCGACCTAGGCTCATCTCTTTTAGGAGGAGGAACTACGCATTGCGAGCCCCCAGGACCAGGCACTACAGCAAAAAATCACCCGTTTGGTATGACTCACAACAGAGAGAAGTGTTTATGCGGCCTCAGTCCAGAGCGAGAGGTTCTCGATAGAAGCGAATTTTTGTTTTTTCATGGACATGAGTTAGTTCCAACATAACTTAGACCGCAAAACTAGACGAACTTGAGAAATGGAAATTTTCCTCCTTCTATTGAGGACACTATATATTTTGAGCCTACTATATCAAAGAACACTCGGCACGGTTTGATCCGAGAGTTACTAAAGCTGCAACAAGAAGGTCTCTCAATTACACAAGCCGCACTTCCATCCAGAACCCCAGAAGGCTTTCTTCTCTTTCGCTTGAGAAGAATGAAACTTGAAGCACAGGAGCGCTGATCGACCTTCCTATGTAAGGCAGGTTCAGACCTTTGGCGCTAAAACTGTAGCCGCGCCCCCACTACGATTCGTCGCCGCTACGATGCGTCGCCTAAAGCCTCGCGCTAGCCACGACAGCTGTATCCAGCCTTCCTTTTATTGACTTTTTTTGTTTTTAAATTAACCATCTTCTCTTTGTTTGCCATATTTATCTGATGCTGAGCTCCTGTTTTTTTTTTACTTTGCACATTTTTTACCACATTTTTATATAGTTTTTGATACAGAGCACTATGATAATTGTTTTATTTTCGTTTCCGACTCTATTTGGTCTAGGGCTAGTGATGTTGATTTCTTTGCTCGAGTGTCTTGCATTTGCGTGCCTCATTTTGATACCCGCATGCAAATTGTTTTTTCATTTCCATTATTAAAAATAGGCTAAAAATTCGGTAAAGACTCCAGCAATCAGCATGAATATGGCATAAGACTGGTGAATTCAGCGAAAGAAAAATATAAAAAGCTGGCATACCAGCTGTTATATTCCAGCTTATAGCGCGACAATCGTAGCGCGACGGCTGTAGCGCGACAGCTGTAGCGCGACGATCGTAGCGGCACGATCGTTAGCTCGCCCTACACTCTGCTTAAGCCGCTACAAGTTTGAACGCTGCCCAACGCGCCACTTGTTCGTCTTGCAAGATCACAGTGACATAGAAATATGGACCTATAGAATACGAGCTTTATATAGAAAGAACAACCTTGTCGTACAAGCTGATTGTGTTCCGTCATATTTAGACAAGCTTCACTTTCTATAGTAGCTATGTAGTTTCATTTACACTATATCAATTTATCATGAAATTGCACGACGGAGTTACGGCACTCCACGGCGAGGCACAAAAGCGATGCAGTGCTTCACTAGTTCTGCCACAGCTTTGCTCATTAGTGACGCTTGCACTTACGACCCCACCCCCTCCGCCTTCACGCAACATACGACCCCTTCGTCGCGATTTCCTCGAAGCACTTGACCATGGCTTCCCCCCCTCCCCCTCCCCGCCTCCCCTTCACTCAACGAGGACAGTGCAAACACAGTCTGCCCAAACACGCTAGGCAATGCTTGATCACGAGATTACCTACTTTAACGCACGTTTATAACTCAAATCATGAGTTCCGGGTTTGACAGAGGAGTGTATCTGCTTACTAGCCAAAGGGTCTGAAGTACAAGTGCCAATGATTGAACCAATTAAAGATAAATTTATGATACAAAATCGAACGTTTACTATCCCTTTTGGCACAATCACAGCCATTTTCTTTGCCTTACTTCATTATAGTTGGCGCAGTAGCCACGTTAATATAGAGACGTGGACTACGCGTTAGAAGCAGTGCAGTACGCAATCGCACGGCGTGATTGGTGTATTTACTATAGAACATCTTTTCTCGGAGGCTTAACACGTTGACGACAATCGCGTTTTGCGGGAAAGCGCCGCGTGGGACGATGACGTGTCCTCGCATGCGTCCGGCCTGAGCCACCGGTGGCTCAGGTTGTCCCTCGTGGACCACTTTTTTGCCGCCGCTATGGTCAAATTTTCGCCAAAAGAGAGTCATCGCGGCAGACTTCTTTTTCAACCATCTTTGACCCATTGGATGGCATCTCATGCCCCGCCCACTGCGATCACGCCCACTTTTCAGCGCGACCGTGATTTCTAACATGTGTACCATAACTCCCGTTTCTAAGAATTTTCTTGGAATTCTCTGCTTCTGACACTTTTCAATTATTCATAGACCAGTCGGCTCGCCGGCTAACGCCGGCGCGCCTCCTTCGGAGCATACGGCCGGCTTGCCGCCGGGCCTGAGCGCGGCCTCTGCGCCGTAATAACGTAATTTTCTTTCAACATACTCTTAGACTCAACTGATATCCGCCTTTTGTTCTGTACTCCACTTTTTTTCCGGTGTCTGAAGTACCCCTGAGCTATTTTACACTGGCGACCCTCTGCTGACCTTAATCCACTTTTTCCGCTCTTCGGAGTGCTCTGGAACCGTTTTACAGACCTTTTGTCTGGCTCCGCCCACAATGTTTTTTTGCCCCCCACAATCCTCATCGCGAGCCCTCTGCCGACCTTTGGCTTCACTTTTTCCGCGTGTCTGGAGTAGTTCTGGAAACGCGAGCTCGCAAACTTTAAAATGAATACCCCTCATTGTTTCTGGTAGAGGCAAATCGCCCTCTGCGGCGGGTCTCAACACACTTGAGCGGCCTATATTCGCCAGATAATTACGTATACATATGGCTGATCTTTTGCGACTTCAAACACTCGCGAACCGGGTTACTGAATTTTGCGAGAAGCACCGCCCACCTTGAGTACGCCCCGCCCATTTTGGATGTGTCTGCCACAGTTAGTCTGGCGACTCCTTACTAACCTTATTCTCTTTTTTCCCATCTTTAAGCTGCTCCGGAAGCGAATTATGAACATTTTTCTGCGGAACCCCAAACTTTCGGCGAGTGCCCCGCCCACTGTGGGCGGGGCTTCCCATAGGTCATGTGTGCTTTTTATTTCTTGTCCCATGCCCTACCCATCCCCACCTTGACCCGACCTCTCCAAGTCGTTCTTCAGGTCGAACCGAATTTCCGGACAGACAAACTTACAAACTTACAAACTTACAAACTACAAACAAACAAACCAAACAAACAAAGCGAATTATATATATGGGGTGATGGCACAACGACAGCATTAAGCCGGCACGGCCACTTTTTACCAGCTTTGTTTCGGGTTTAGTTTTCATACCTTATCTCAATGTTGGACGCTTTCAAATACATTCTTTACATATTGCTCACAGACAAGCAGTAGCACAAAGATGCTTAAGGCTCCGCACAATTAGGATGTCAAATAACCTAGGTGTAGAGGTCCCACTGGAATCGGTGTTAAAAGGATCGCTTGCGCCGCCAAAGTGGCGCCCGCTGGCTTTGCGCCAGGGTATGCACGCCAATCTTTGCGAAGCAACGATATATTCGTGACAAGGATGATCAAATGCACCTAGGCTGTAGAGGTTTGTTATCGAATTCGTGTTCAAAGACTGCTAGCGCCCGGAAAAGGCGCCTTACTGGCGCCATATGGCGCCAATGACAAATGAGATCTCAGGTTCATGACCAAAACCCCGCGCAGTACCTACAACCCAGGTTGCGTCTAGAAAGAACTATTTTGGAGGTTTCTGCCGAGACAGTGGCTCGATCACTGTCCACTTGTTGAAAAATTTCAATTTTTATTTTAAAATATCTCATGCGGGCAGCAACATTTTTCTTGCTCATCCTTGTTGGAAACTCACCTTACACAGGTTACTCGAAAGCAGGAAAAAGATCGATTGAGACTGCCGGCAATAGCCCAAAAAGTAATGGAGAATAGCCTGATGCCACCCGGTGGTTCAGGTTGTCCCACGTGCCCTCACTCATAGAGCCACCGGCTGGCTCGGATGGCGTTGCAATGTCGTGTTAAACGCACCTTAGTTCCCCTCCCATAAAGGGCTTTAGCGCCCCGAAGAAAGGAAGCTACGCTCAAGACAACCAAATTCTCTCATGGCCGTTCTCGTAAAAGAGTGGAACACCCCTCCCCCGGCATGGAAGCACTTTCGCTACAGTTGTGAAGATTTTTGACTTCGCACCTCTTTTCAGAAGAGTCATGGTCACTCCGTTCCACCTGTCTGCCCGCCCCCCTCGTATCATGGTGAATGTCATCCTAATTTTATCAGGTAACTTTTTCAGATTGTCTATAATTTGTGGAAATCTGGGCATAATTCCAGAACGTGATGCATTTGAGTGTAGTCCGAAGAAACCTTGGTCTCACACGAGGGCTCCTTTCACCTTTGCAATATCGCCTAAATCGTCATCTCATTGTCATGATTTCAGTGCCTTGGGTGCTCTGCATCAAAATGTCCCACCTCATCCATATAGTTACGTCTGCACAAGCGATTGTGATGGTGCATTTGCAGCCATGTGGAAGGCAACTCATTAATCCTTATACAGTGCGAATTTACTTGATTTTGTTTCAGGAAAGCGCAGTACAGCTTTAGCTGGGATTGGGGACCTGCGATGCCTACTATGGGCATATCGAAGGCTATCCAAATTGTCGCATTCAACGACTTTTTCTTGGAAGACTTTACATGGATCACTGAACGAACTGAGGGTACGACTATCTTGAATTTTTTTCGGCCTATGCTTAGCTTTTCGCTTTTCTCTTCTTACAGTCTTGTGTTGTTGAAATGTGGAATAGAATTCACTTCATGTGTTCTTTTCTTGACGAGAAATGTTCAATCCTGCATTTTTTGACGGATCATACTCTAGAATACATTTTAAATTGATTGAGTTATCGTCATCAAAACAAAGTGACTCCTTCTATTCCAGACTCGTGGCTGGTTCGCGGAGATTTGAAGGTTTTTACTGATGGAAAGTCCGGTGATGTCGACTACGTGGTTAATATTGACGAGCTCCAAGTGAGCGATGGTGCAAGTTACTCCATCAAGCCAAGGACCGAAGCGGTCCTTTTGCCTTTTAAACTCCGGATACCTCGAGACAAAGTGGAGCAGTGGTGGCCGAATGGTGAAGGGGAACCGAAGCTTTATAATATTCTGCTGGCTTGAGATCAAACAAACAAGGTTTTTATTTCTTGTGACATTAGTATGTGTCTAATTGTCTTTTCAATGGACCTAGCTCTCGAAATAATTATGTTAACTCACCATAACCGACTGTAATTCAGTAATCACGCACTATATCGGCTTCCGTCACGTGGAGCTCATTCAGGACTACGTCGATCAGCAGCAGAAGGCCAAAGGACGACATTTCTACGTGAAGATCAACGACCGTCCAGTTTTCCTCAAAGGTTTCGTTTTGATGGGTCGCTGATGTGCATACAATTTCATTATTCATTAATTTTTGTTTATTCCAGGATCGAACTGGATACCGATATCCATGTTCCTAACCCAAAATAACACTGAACGGATGGAATTTCTGCTAGATTCTATGATAGAGACAGGTAGTTATCCCTTTTTGGATATGATCATAACCCCTCAATCACTGACATCCCTGAAGCGGATAAGTTTTATGAACCAACAAGGAGTCATTAGTTGATTCCTGACATATGCATTAATTTCCCAGTCAATAACTTCCACGTTCAGCCGACAGTGCTCCCGGTTTCGTGACCTTTGAAACTTCTACTCTAAAGTTCGAGTCCCCAGTTCTCATACTTATGGCATTCTTTCTCACAGGTATGAATACGTTACGGGTCTGGGGTGGTGGTGTGTACGAGTCGGAAGAATTTTATCAGTATGCTGATTCGAAAGGGATCTTATTGTGGCAGGTATGATTAAATTTAATAGGGCTTCGTTGAAAATCATCGTTAATTGTGTGGTATATAAATTATAGGACTTGATGTTTGCATGTGCCCTCTATCCAACGAATGAGGACTTTTTGAAAAGCGTTGAAACTGAAGTCCACCAACAGGTTTGTGGTAACGGTTGTAAGTAGGTTTAATAGATTGTTTTCATCCGTACTTCTGTATCAGATATGGCGAATAAAGCGTCATCCATCAATTTTATTATGGGCAGGAAACAATGAAAATGAAATAGCTATCAGATCACATTGGTGGACAGTCGAGAACTACACAGGTTGGCTTTTCAGTTGGCATATCTCTTTGTGCTACCGGTGTTGTAGGGGAGGAGAGGACATAGTGCGGGCCCTCGGCCATAACATGTGCTCTCGGCGAACCCTTGACACCCAGGTTATCGTAACTTGGAGCGGAAGTCAAGGGCCTTGCCCTGTCGCGAAATCAATCCGCTGATTTGCCACCGCCGATCGTGCGTGGTAGCGGACCACTTGCTTACAGCACCATCTCTGGATCCAGTGCATTCTCTATGTTAGGCATCAAGAATGTCTTTCACCTGCGGGTATGCATCAGTTTTGTTTTTTTTTGGCCACTATTTCAACTGCTACTACCCCATTTTCCGAAAACAGGCCGGATCTTGATCGACTTTTTTCTAGGGGCAGATTTGGCTGAAATTTGGGTTTAGGGGTAATTCGACCTCGTGAACACGAATATCACATCCACTTGGCCTGAAAGTGCCTGGCGCCCGCGCCACAGGCGCCAGTGATTTGGGGCATTTTGGCGCCGGCGCCCGTGGCGCGGGCGCCAGGAGGTTTCGGGTCAAGCGGATGCGATATTCGTGTTCAGCGGGTCGAACTACCCCTGGAGCCAAGTTTTCAGCCAAATCTGCCCGTAGAAAAAAAGTCGATCAAGATCCGGCCCGTTTTCGAAAAATTTTGGTAGTAATAGTTGAACAGTGCCGGTATTTTTAATTCAGTTCACCGTAGGAATTTCCACAAAATTTCACCCAAAAATAACTGGTTATTCAGGCGTTGTTATATTCTTTTTTTCGTGAGACTACCGTGCCAGAATGTTATGTTTCAAAATGTTTTTATTCGTATTTGAGAAACCGAACTAGATTTTACTTCAATGATCCATTTCAGAAAAGGACCAAGTAAAAGATTATGTACGCCTTTATAGCGGAGTTGTAAGGCCTCTTGTTGAAGCTGCAGATCCATCAAGACCTTTTCTGTTGTCAAGTCCTAGTAATGGACAAGAGACTGAAGAGTTCGTTAAGATTTCTATTCTCTCTTTCGGAAAGTCTCTTTATCATGTATTTCTGTATGAATTCAGTGTCATGATCCCGTGAAATCAGAATATTGCAGGGAAGGAGGTGTATCGGCAGATCCTGGCAATCCGCGCTATGGCGATATTCATTTCTACAACGATTTCATCAATCTATGGCGTGATAACGCCTACTTGACACCGCGGTGCGCGACGGAGTTTGGAGTGCAGAGTCTACCGTTTGCGTGAGTTGGACGAACATACATGAAAGGCATACTGTACACCCTCTGTGGATCCTGGTACTTGCTAAATGTGAGGTGAACGGATCCACAGTAGCATATACTATCTGCGGTCGAAAGTGCCCGAGAACCGAGCTAGAGGGTAGTGTTACCCGCGTGCGCTCTCCACAACGCACGCGCTGCCGACGGCATTCGGGTAACGCCAACCTGAAGCTCTTTTCCATGCACTTTTGAGTGGATGAACTTAGCAAATGCAAGCAGTAAAAACAAATGGTTCCAAAACTTTTCGTGCTTTCCAGAGCCACTATGTTGTCAAATATCAATAACTCTGAATGGTTCTACTCATCAGAACAACTGCTACATCGCCAGCACAAACCAGCTGGTGTACTGACTAATCTGTTAATGGTGTTCAGCCATTTTCCGGTGGGTACACAATTTTATTGAACTTTTACTGAACTCGATAACTAACTGATTCATGGCATCTGATGTGATACATTTAGATACCATTCCAATGCCCTCAATCACTTGTCGACCTACATCATTGCGAGTATTTAAAGTCACCGATGTTTATCGATCGATATGCATTCTTTTCGCAGGCTAATCAGGCGACTACGTATAAAATCCAAACTGAACATTATAGAAGGTTGGAGCTGTGACTGCTTGAATTAACGAGTTTTCGCTTTCCAACGAATG